CACAACCATCTGTAATGGGGTCTGGTGCCCTCTTCTGGCCTGCAGACATACACACAGACAGAATATTGTATACATAATAAATAAATATTTAAAAAATGTAAAGTTAAAGAAAGAGTAGAAACTGGCTGAAGGAGATTAGAATGACTTGGCATGCTGACTCCACATTTGGGCTCCAGTCCCTCTGGTTATGCAGAAGTAAGGGGAGAAATGAAGATGAAGGACTTGGGGCTGGCTGTATGCACGCATGCATGGTGTCTTTCTCTACCTCTTAGATTGTGAAACTGTAGGTGGCAGGGCCAACCCTCGGTCATCACTCTGTTCCTGATTTGGGCCTAGGGTCTTAGTGAAGGTATTGTGAGGGAATGAGAGGGGTGTCCCAGGACAGGAGACCATCCCCTCCGCCCAGCAGAATGAGGAGTAGATATTGACCTTGGTGGCCACTAAATGACAAAAGTTTACTCTGAGCACCTGGATGGTGGAGAGCATCACACCTGATCCTGTGAGAGTAACTCTGCGAGGGTGGGAATTCCGTGTTCTCCAACCCTGTCTCTTGGAGAACCAAGCCCAGGGTATTCCATGCACACTCATGGGCCTCAGACACTGAAAGGTGGCTGGGCTGCAGTGGAGGGAGGCATGTGGTCAGATGTAGGTATCAGGGGGAACTCTTAGGCCAGACCTTAGTAATGCTCAAGAGAGAGAGAGAGAGAGAGAGAGAGAGAGAGAGAGAGAGAGAGAGAGAGAACACAAAATCTTCAGAAAAGTGGTCTTCCTAATTCTGGAAAAAATCTTAAATCTATGAAATTTCATTTCCTTCTTCCCCTTCTCTCCCACCTGCAGATCCTCATGTTCCCTCTGGGCTTCGGGTTCCCCTAAAGTCCTGCCAGCTCAATGAGACCACATACCAACACGGAGAGATCTTCAGTGCACAGGAGCTGGTCCCCACCCGCCTGTCCAGCCAGTGTGTCCTCTGTAGCTGTATTGTAAGACCTTCTACAGTCTCTGGCCCAAGCCAGTGTCTCTCCTACAGAGAGGGATGGGGTGGGCCATTAAGCGAGAATAAGAAAGGTTGGCGGGAAGGGAACACCCAGGGTCCACAGTGCCCTGCCCCTAGTTTGTTGAGGTGGGTTTCACACCTGATTCCCAAATAATGAGATTAGATTATGTCTGCTTCCCCCAGTGAACACTGTACCCCTTTAAGGGGAGGGAATGTGCCCATCTTTTTTCTGTGTCTTCTCTTGCTCAATGTTCAGGACCTGGCATGTAGAAGATGCCAGTGGCTATTGCAGAATGATGAAGGAAGGGAGGGAGGGAGGGAGGGAGGGAGGGAGGGAGGGAGGGAGGG